TTTTGTTTTGTTCACAATGTGTACATTTGGCTCCGTCCTTAAGGGGTTAATGAACGCTGAGCTGCAAATGCAAAAAAGCAGGACATTGCATACTAGCATTAGTCTTTAGGAAATAGAATGGGATTTTTCAAAAGATTATGAATCTGGTTTGTAAGGTGTTAAGTTGGTAAAAATGTGCAAAGACTGCTTTAGAATCTCATTTTATTTCTATTATTCCCTTTTGAAAAATTATTGAAATAATTTTAAAATTGCTTTAAAATGAAAATCTAAGTGATTAATTTGTGTGATTGTTATGGTATCTGAGAGACTCCCTTTAGGACAAGCCTTCCTTCCGTAATAAATGTGTCAGTCCCTTGCAAGTAGAGTACCTTATATTTAATCAGTTCGGATCAAATTCTTTTTAACTGTGTTAACATGTAAGATATCTCAAAGACCTTTAACAGACCAAGTTTTAATAATCTCCCAACGGGAACAGAATATGCATTTAAAATGGACATTGGTGGTCAATGTATAGTGGGTTAAATTACATTATGGTCAGTACAACAGAGCTCTTGTATCAAACAATATTTCACTGTCCAGAAAACACTAGAGACTCGTTTCTATGTTGTTGTTTTTTTTGTTAGAATACATCCATTAAGCATTAATAATACCAAGAGCAAGTAGGTGTATTTGACTATAAAATATGGACAGGTTCCTACTCTACCTCTACAGATGCTGGTCATTACATAGTACTTACAATTTTATGTCAAGAAAAGGTCTGTTTATTGCATCAGCTACTCACACACAGCCACCAGGATTGTTTAAAGGTTGCCATAGCAATGCCAATAGAACAGTGGTGTTGCCATAGCAACTACTCCAGGACAATATAAATGTGGTAGTATTGCCATGACATCTCTACCTGGATTCTATAAAAGGTGGTGGCGGTGGCTATATAAACCCTATGAAGTTGCTACTCCAACTACCAAGGCACTTCATTCACTTAGAATTACCTGAGCTTCAAAGGCAACAATAGGACCCAAAAAAATACCTGCGTCTTAAAGAAACACTCCGGACCCCCTAAAGTAGTTTACCGTACTGGTTTGTTTATCTCAGTTGAGCTAAACTCAAGAGGCAGCAATTGCCCAGGTCACCTGCCTTGAGCTACTTTGGGAAGTCTGTGATTGGGCAGACACAGAAATTCTGGGCGTGGTTAGAAGGGGAGAGCTTGCAAAGGCTGCAGACAAGAGATCTGCAACTATTGCAAACTGTTTTTAGATTTACCTCCAAAGACAAAGTACATGAGTAAATAAATGCATGTTTTCATTTAGGATATATATATAATAAATAGTGATTTTTATTTTATTTTTTTGTATTTTGACTGTCGATTGTCCCTTTAAGGAGCAAGGTAATAGAACCTATCTGTGATGAAAAGGCACTTACAAATAAATGGTAAACAGTTATGTATAATAAGCTGCTGCAACACGTGTGTGGTTTCTTTCCTTTCACCACACCAGAATATACAAAAAACATATTATACTGTGTGACCTGATTACAAAAAGCCAACACCAGTATGTAAGTGGAGCTCTTAACGGTAAGTATATACTATGTAAAATCACTCAACCATTGTACGCACTGTGGTACACAAGAAATGTTCACTCAAAAGAAAACAAGAAAAAAGTATATAGGGGAGCGGGGCCTGACAGCCGACCGAGGCAGCTGCATGCAACTGGGGCTCCTCCACAGAATCCTAATTTCGACTAATTTCAGGGGTATTATACCTGCTTTATCAGCAGCAAAGTTGCCTCCCGAGCTCACATAAGCTATTTTTGCAAACAGATTGAGTGGGGGAAGCATAGCTCCTAGTAGCCACTACTGCAACTGAGCCGGAAGGGATGGCTGCTCCTTGGACTCATAAGGACAGGGCCAATGCAAGGATTTTTGGCTACAAAGGCAAAGACACATTTTGCCGCCCCCTACCCCCCTCCCCCCTGCAAAAAAGAACTGCGTCTTTACCTGTGTGCTTCGTAGCCCCCCTCTTGAATGTCTTACCCACTTTTGCCCATTTGTATGTCTTACACCCGCCCTAGTGTTTTTACCCCAACTTGTGTGTATCTTACAACCCCCCTTTGTGTGTCACTTACTTCAACCTAGCCCATTTGTATATCTCTTTCTTCTCACCAGAACCTTTGTGTTTCTCTTACTTCCTCATCAGCCCCTTCTGTGTGTCTTTTTTCTCTCCCCTTAGACCTTTTCTGTGTCTGAGGGATGGCTGCTAGTGATGGGGGAGAGGAGGATGGCTGCTAGTGATGGGGGAAAGGGGATGGCTGCTAATGATAGGGGAAAGGGGATGGCTGCTGGTGATAGGGGAGAAGGGGATGGCTGCTAGTGATAGGGGAGAAGGGTATGGCTGCTAGTGATAGGGGAAAGGGGATGGCTGCTGGTGATAGGGGAGAAGGGGATGGCTGCTGGTGATAGGGGTAAGTGAGGGATGGCTGCCAGTGATGGGGGAGAGGAGGATGGCTGCTTGTGATAGGGGTGAGGGATGGCTGCTAGTGATGGGAGAAAGGGATGGCTGCTAGTAATATGGGTGAGATAGGGATGGCTGCTAGTGTTTAGGGGAGAGGAAGCATAAGAGGAATAGAAGTGAGGTGGCTCTGTTGGACCAATAAAACACAGAGCTCCACATAAACTATAAGATTTAGCTCTGTGGAGCTCTGTGCTAGATATAGAATTATTTAATAAAAAAATAAATAAAACATTGCTGCTTACCGTTGGTGGTATAAGTAGCTGAAAAGAGATGTTCTTACCTCTCCCTGCTTAGTAATCCTCTAGCAGGTCCTGATAGATAGTGATATAAAAGTCCCTGCCCACTGCAGTCTTCGCTCCTCAGTAAACTACCGCAGGTGAGAGTAGTGTGAGCAGGCACATCTCCTGCATCTTGACAGCCATTAGGGTGGCTGCCTGAGCCGCCTTATGGTAGCACCATCCCTGGATAAGGATCAGCTTGTTTCAGGACACTATCATCCCCCCATTTGGACCGGGGGGGGGGAAAACATCCTGGTTCCCTCTGTAGAGTTCACTGGTACATGCAGAGCTGTGTGAGCCTGCACACTTCGAGTATGAGAACCTGCGGCCTGCATCCTGAGATGGCTGCCGAAGCAGCACTGGCAACCCAGGCACTCCACAAGGAACAAATCCAGCAGATCTTTGAGCAACTGTGGATGCAATTCTGGACCAGAATATCTCATCGGGCGAAGAGGTTAACAGCAACAGTTAACCCTCAGGGTACACCTGCTGGGATAGTACCTGAGCAGAGACCTGCCAGGGCTGCCATCAGAAATTGACACAGCTCAAGGTCTGGGCCCCCCGATGCCTGACTCGAGTCCACCCACAGGATTGTACTGATTGTAGTGTGTGTAGTGGATGCGGTGTGTGTGTAATGGATGCAGATTGTACATTTGTGTAATGTATGAGGTATATATTAGATGCAGAGTGTGTGTTTGTGTAGTGGATGTAGTGTGTATAGTGCATGCAGAGTGTGTGTGTTTGTGTGTATTAGAAGCTGTGTGTTTAGTGCATGCAGAGTGTGTGTTTGTGGCTGTGCAGTAGATGTATTGTGTGTGTGTGTGTGTGTGTGCTTGTGTAGTGGATGTAGTGTTTGCGTGTATTAGATGTGGTGTATATAGTGAATGCAGAGTGTGTGTTTGTGTTGTGAATGTTGTGTGTGTGTAGTGAATGCAGAGTGTATAGTGAAGGCTGTTTGTGTGTATTAGATGCAGTGTGTGTATAGTTAATGTGGAGTGTGTGTTTTTGTATAGTGGATGTAGTGTGTGTATAGTAAATGCAGTGTGTGTGTTTGTGTCGTGTGTGTGTATAGTGAATGCAGAGTGTGTGTTTGTGTGGTGTGTATATTATGAATGCAGTGTGTGGTTTGTGTAGTGTGTGTGTATAATGAATGCAGTGTGTGTTTGTGTAGTGTGAATAACGAATGCAGTGTGTATATAATGAATGCAGTGTGTGTTTGTGTAGTGTGTATATAATGAATGCAGTGTGTGTTTGTGTAGTATGTATATAATTAATGCAGTGTGTGTTTGTGTAGTGTGTATACAGGTGATACTCGAAAAATTTGAATATCGTGCAAAAGTTCATTTATTTCAGTAATGCAACGTAAAAGGGGAAACTAATATATGAGATAGTTCAAGCCGTGATTTGTCATAAGTGCGATGATTATGGCTTACAGCTCATGAAAACCCCAAATCCACAATCTCAGTAAATTAGAATATTGTGAAAAGGTGCAATATTCTAGGCTCACAGTGTCCCACTCTAATCAGCCAAGTAAGCTATAACACATGCAGAGGGTTTCTGAGCCTTTAAATGGTCTCTCAGTCTGGTTCAGTAGGAATCGCAATCATGGGGAGGACTGCTGACCTGACAGTTGTGCAGAAAACCACCATTGACACCCTCCATAAGGAGGGAAAGCCTCAAAAAGTAATTGGAAAGGAAGTTGGATGTTCCCAAAGTGCTGTATCAAAGCACATTAATGGAAAGTTATGTGGAAGGGAAAAGTGTGGAAGAAAAAGGTGCACAAGCAGCAGGGATGACCGCAGCCTGGAGAGGATTGTCAGGAAAAGGCCATTCAAAAGTGTTGGGGACTTTCACAAGGAGTGGACTGAGGCTGGAGTCAGTGCATCAAGAGCCACCACACACAGGGAGATCCTGGACATGGGCTTCAGATGTCGTATTCCTCTTGTCAAGCCGCACCTGAACAACAAACAACGTCAGAAGCGTCTTACCTGGGCTAAAGAAAAACAGACCTGGTCTGTTGCTCAGTTGTCCAAAGTCCTCTTTTCTGATGAGAGCAACTTTTGCATCTCATTTGGAAACCAAGGACCCAGAGTCTGGAGGAAGAATGGAGAGGCACACGCCGCAAGATTCTTAAAGTCCAGTGTGAAGTTTCCACAGTCTGTGTTGATTTGGGGAGCCATGTCATCTGCTGGTGTTGGTCCACTGTGCTTCATTAAGTCCAGGGTCAACGCAGCCGTCTACCAAGAGATTTTGGAGCACTTCATGCTTCCTTCTGCAGACGAGCTTTATGGGGATGCTGGCTTTATTTTCCAGCAGGACTTGGCACCTGCCCACACTGCCAAAAGCACCAAAGCCTGGTTCAATGACTGTGGGATTACTGTGCTTGATTGGCCAGCAAACTCGCCTCACCTGAACCCCATAGAGAATCTATGGGGCATTTCCAAGAGAAAGATGAGAGACATGAGACCGAACAATGCAGAAGAGCTGAAGGCTGCTATTGAAGCATCCTGGTCTTCCATAACACCTCAGCAGTACCACAGGCTGATAGCTTCCATGCCACGCCGCATTGAGGCAGTAATTGCCGCAAAAGGGACCCAAACCAAGTACTGAGTCCATATGCATGCTTATAATTTTTAGAAGTCCAATATTGTTCTATGTACACTCCTTGTTTTATTGATTGCCTGTAATATTCTAATTTACTAAGATTGTGGATTTGGGCTTTTCATGAGCTGTAAGCCATAATCATCGCACTTATGACAAATCACGGCTTGAACTATCTTGCTTTGCATGTAATGTCTCTATCTCATATATTAGTTTCCCCTTTTACGTTGCATTACTGAAATAAATGAACTTTTGCACGATATTCTAATTTTTCGAGTATCACCTGTATAATGAATGCAGTGTGTTTGTGTAGTGTGTGTATAATGAATGCAGTGTGTGTTTGTGTAGTGTGTGTATAGTGAATGCCGTGTGTAGTGTGTGTATAATGAATGGTTTTATAGTCCTGTTATAATATCTGCGAGTTTGATAGCATACTTACTGTTTAGCTAGAAAGTCTATCCATGATCATACCTTTTTAGCATTCTCCTGTCTGAAGTTCCTTACCTAGATAGCTTAGATTACGACATATGCTCAGACACATGTGCCTAGCCTGTTTTGGTGTCTTTATGATTTAAAATTGAAGCAGACTGTGCTAGGCATTTATTATTGCAAGCTTTAACAAATTTAACTGTTATAAGGCCTAACATACCAAAGCAAATTGATCTTTAGCCTAACAGCTAGACACTACTGACTCGCTTGTTACTATTACTTACTTTTTATAAAAAATGCGCAATGTTTATACATGCCAGGCTTTATATTACTATGTATGTCATTGAATGACTTGTCTATGCTGTTGTGGCATTGCAACTTCTTTTGTTCCTACTTTTATGCACTGAAAAACAAAGAATGCAATATTAATCACATTTTGGTGAGATGTTCAGTATCTCATAAAGCTCACCTGTAAAGAGCCTTAAGATTAAATGCAGGATACCAGTATAGGGTGATATACCCCCTTTAAGAGGAGCAGGCAGCAGTAAGGATCCAGATGACAGATGAAAGCAGAAAAGAATAACATCAATTTATTAAAACAAACAAATAAAAACAAAGTATGAAAAAAATCATATAGCGAGGAATTCTCCTGTCCGAGGCGTGTCTCGCTGTTAAATGGCTCCTTTAATCAGAATTGTGTCCCTTTAAACCTCTTCCTAAAGCCCCACCTCTGAATCTCCACCCCATAACACACCTCTTAATACACTTACTGTAACTTACAGATACACACATACAGACTGGGACAGGTACAGATTGGAACACAGACATTGACAGAAACAGACAGGCACATATTGGTAAACACTGGCATAGACAGACAGGTACAGATAGGCACACAGAGTTACAAACAGGCATAGACACACAGGTACAGATAGGCACACAGAGATACAAACAGGCATAGACACACACGTACAGATAGGCACACAGAGATACAAACAGGCACAGACAGACAGGTACAGATAGGCACATAGAGATACAAACAGGTACAGACAGACATACACAGATACTGGCAGGTACGCACACTCCCAGACAGACACAGACAGACAGTCTCTTGTCTGCAGGCTTTGCAAGCCCTCCCCTTCTAACCCCGCCCAGACTTTCTGTGTCTGTCCAATCACAGACTTCCCAATGCAGCTCAAGGCAGGAGGTCTGGGCAATTGCTGCCTCATGAGTTTGCATGCATACAAACACTCACCAGCACACCCAGACATAGACAGACACACAAAGGCACACTATAAAAAAAGGATACTGTCTTGCTAACTAGTAATTGTTTCAGGGCCGGTGGCTGCAAGCAAGTAAGGAGAGCAGACAGCGGTCTGCCAACCCAGCTCTTTTTTTGTGCAGCTTTCCTGTCTCCTCTTCCCTGCTGATGTGTGCTCTTCCTGACTGGTCTCCTCAGTTAGCACAGTAATAGTGATACACAGGTAATATTATTGTGTCATATTCCCTTATCTCGATTATTGCGATGTTTCTGCTCCCGGCTGACTCTCATCTAGATAGATAGGGGGCATGCACAACATGGGACATGTCTCTGAAAAGAGATTTTGGGATAGAGGGCCCCACAGCCCACCAGCTCACTGCTCGGAGCGTGCCAGCGGACCATATTGGCCTTGGTGTTTGCATACACCTGACTTACCATATTACATAGGTATATATTGAAAAGCTCATTATGGTTATACATAGACTTCAGTGATTAAATGTACTTATACAGAGAATAAATGTTTTTAATTTAGACTATCTTGAGAATTTGCCGTTGTTAACTCATCTTTTCTACTTACAATTTACAACTACGGAATAGACTAACAAATACCTCTACATGTAGATCAGCTGCTATTTTGCAGTTGTTAAACATTATTTTTCATTGAATGGAAGCTAGCGGTAATCACTGGTAGTAACAGTCATTTTAGTGATTACCGTCTTGTCACTAAATTATTGTGATAAGCATGGAAATGAGTCCTAGTTGTGCCACGTCCTAAAACAACCATTATCCTGTCTTTTCTACATATTTTCTACTCTCAAGATATCTTTTCTCTCGTAATTCTTGCAGGTGACTTTATTCCCATATAATCTATTCTTGAATTGCTTTACCATGTTAGCTTTAACATCACGTTTAAATTGACCAGAGGTGAGGCGTTCTGCATGACAGATGAGAATTCTAGCAGTGAATCATTATTGCTGCAGATATTTTTTCCATACTATTATTTTAATTATTAAAGAGGTAATAAACTATGCCTTCTGTATTTAAAACGCACTATTACTGTACACTCCACCAATACAAAAACAGGCATGTTTAGCCCTGTCTGTAAGTGAAAAAAGACACAGCTTATCTGGGGGTTCCTCTGGCCACCTAATCTATATATAATCATATGTTCCTTACATACCTCCCAAGTGTCCCTACTTAGGAGGGACGGTCTCTATTTTGAGTCTAAATCCCTCTGTCCCTCTTTTTATCCTGATGTCCCTCTTTTATAGGAGCTCTATATTGCTGGTGGGTCTGAGTGTATAACAGAGCTTTACAAGATAATACTCACAGTAATGTGTCTTTAAACTACAATAAATGGGTTTAGAAATAAGTCTGTGTAAAGATACATCTCAAGTCAGCCCTCACCCTAACAACACTCCCACTCATACCCCTAAAATTAAAGTGCCCCTCTTTATTTTGGGACCTGAGGTTTGCCCTCACGTCCCAAAATATAAACACTAACATTATCTGCACCTGATACTTAGCTTTTAAATCCTTAAAGGGATTCTCCAGTGCCAAGAAAACAAACCCGTTTTCCTGGCACTAGAGGATCCTGGAGTGCCCCCCTCCCTCCCGCCCCCCATCCCATGTTGCTAAAGGGGTTAAAACCCCTACCCATAGGAAAGCCTCATTCAATGCTTTCTTATCGGGATTCCGGCAAAGCTGGAGGTCCTCATGCAGAGCGTCAGGACGTCCAGCGTCATTTAGACAACCAAAAGTTGTCTAAGAAGCCGGAAGTCCCTCTAGTGGCTGTCTGGTAGACAGCCACTAGAGGAGAACTTAACCATGCAAGGTAATTATTGCAGTTCATAAAAACTGCAATAATTACACTTGCAGGATTAAGGGTGATGGAAGTTGGCACCCAGACCAATTCAATGAGCTGGGTGCCTACAGTGTCCCTTTAACTAACTATTACATTTTAAAACCTGATTGCAAATAATCAAATACATTTATCTGTAAAAAATAATCAAATCTGATGGGGAATCCAGACAGAATGAGTTTCCCAGATGGCACGAGTATTTATAGACCCCAGTCAGTTTCGGACAGCTTTCTCGTGAATTGTGTTTGGCTGGCATTATAGTCATCCAATCACAATGGATCACAGAGTTCATACATCTACAGTGCACGATTCGAGAACATCATTTGTGACATCACTGTTGTGGAAGAAGTAAGGAGGGTTGGGTATACACAGTTAATAATGTGTGTCATTTGGACTTACTGAAGCATGTATATATCTACCTGGGTGATACATGTTTTAGTATGTTCAGTACGTTATTACTTTACCTTGCTGGCCTATGGCTCAACATTTGGCCCAGTATGGCAACACTGATTGAAAAATGCGTTTACGTATTTGCATGGTGATTTTATAGTTTCATTTACAGGGTTGTTCACTATAGTGAGAATTGCTGGAAATTCAAAGGGATTTCCTTGGAGGACCCCGGCATCCCCCATTGTAGGTAGTCAAACTGTTTTAGGGGTCTACTGGGCACGGTTATGTATTAAGCAGACGTTTCTGCTTGGGATCTTCCAATATCACTCCTGTGCTAAGCTCTGTAGTGCAAGGCTAGCTCATTGGCTGAGAATGTAAGCTGATTGCTGGCTGTCAGTGAGCTAAGCCTTACACTGCTGGACTTAGCTCAAATAGAAAGTTACTACTCTCTTTTGGAAGTAGAGAAGGTTGGGAGAGGTGTCCGGTGAAACCCAGGTAAATATCAATTTGCTGTAAAATAATTGGACTACTTGCAAATGGGAGGACTCTTTGTACCATAATCATTACAACATACTGTAGTGGTTATGGTGCTTGGAATGTTCCATTAATTCTTCAAAAGTGCATTGTTTTATCATATATTTGCCATATTTAATCCCACAATCTCAAATCCCATTCCATATTTGCTATATATCATACCATTCTCCTTCCCTCTGCTTCCTTACCTTTCCCTTGGGTTCTTGAGCGAAAGGTTACTATTATACACAATACCAAACAGAACATTTCATTGTATATGTGTTTCGGTCATTTTTAATGCTCTACAATTAAGATGTAAATAATTTTGAAATATTTTTGTTAATTTTGTTTTTATCAAAGAAACCGGAAACCGTGCAAAAATCTACTCTAATTTTGAGAAATATACTTTTCTACACCTAAAAACTCACAACCTATGTT